AGATGGCTGCTCAGATCACTCTTAGGAGCTCCTGAATTTCTGATTTCCTCTATATTAGAAAGAAGGAGGGGGGAAAAAGACATTTTTGAGTTGGTAACTGGATCTTTTTCTGTACAAAATGTGGAAGACAAGTATCAAACAAAATGATTTTTACCGCTTTCCTTGCCGAGATGATTGCTCTGTTATCTAGACTTGCAGATGTTGAATGTGAGAAACAGTTGTTTATGTCCACCCCTTCATTAAGGAGATTTGAAAGGTGGATTAATTACTATGAAATAAGAGAAGCTGTGGATGCCTCATCACTAGAGGTGTTCAAGGCAACTTGATGAGGTCTGGGCAACCAAAGTGTGGGAGGCAACCCTGCCCATGGTGAGGGTTTGCAAGTAAATGAAAGTTGAGGTCCCTTCCAACCCAAGCCATTCTGTGAAGTAAGAATCAGTTATATAAACTAATGTAGAGATCTTCATGCTGGAATGAAGATATAAAGCTGGTCTCAGAACATTTGATTTGGGTTCGATTTACATGAAAAATTAGTTTGTGCTCATGTAGAAATATGGCAGTCTAAAATACCTTCATGCTTCTGCCCTTTGCTTTAACTACCTACCCAGTAGCCCCTCTGTTAACAATCAAGGTTGATTAATGTAGTTTTTAATTCAAAGACTGGATTAGCTTAGTCAACATTTGTTTCAACATCATCCTTCAAAGCAAATTCTAGCTTGCTGCATTCTTCATTGTAAAATTAGTGCCTTTTCACTACTGAAAATGGTTTTAGAACTACCTTTCTTTTTCAATTAGGATTGAAAACAACTCCTGACCATAAGTAACAAGCTGTTCATTAATTCTTCTTTGAAATGTTTATAATTTCTCTTAAACACTGGCTGCCAAATAGGATTCATCGTGTAATAACTGTAAGCAGAATGGTTTTGTAAAGTCTCATTTTTGCAGTGTAGGCTACAGAATGTGCTCCGTGGTCACTGTTACAAACTCAAGGCAGGTGACCAAAGGCAAACACGTGGATAGAGAAGGTGAAGCTTATTGGCCTGCAGATGAAAGGCAGTAATACTACAGTTGGCATGGAGAATATCTCATAGCCTCTGATCTTTTGTACTGCGAATACCAACAATTTAACCACGTTGTAGAACTAAGGGCAATAAAACAGACCTCATGAGTTTGCAGCCTAAAGCTTCTTATTTCTTAGCCTTTGTACATGTGTATGTATGGGTGACACCACCTCCATGTATGTGGTATACCTACTTTACAGATATTTAGGAAAGTAACTAAATACCTGTTTTCTTATTTAAAAATAGTGTGCTTCGTCTTTTTTGAGATTTGGTTCCTGGTACTGAAATGTTCACAAGCTATTTTTGTGTAAATTTAAGAGTTTGATATCTTAGAACATTTTCTAAACTGTTTTTCTTTTGAACTACCCTCATCTATCATCCTAGCTAACTAGCTCAGCATGTTAATGTCTGCCTTTAAGGGCAGATAGCTACTCTGATTACATGCAGCTTGTTAAAATAGCTTTGAGACAAATTGGCATTCTGTAGAAGTCAAACCAAAAGAGGGGTTTTTAAAATATGATTCTTCAGATATGATTTGGATGGCAATGGTGTGAGTAAGCTACCGTGGAGGATTTTGCCTTTGGCTGTTTGCTACATACGCAGGCGTGCAGCTTGCTCCTGTCTCCCAATGGAAGTGCCTCCTCCCTGGGTATCCTGCAGTTCCCAAAGATCCCTGCCCCATCACTGTGCCCAGTGACTGCAGTAGCTTCTTCCTCAGCCAGCAGCCTGTGCGCAGAGCCACACACAGCTGGGTTTAATGGGCTGCCTCTTCAACATCAGACACTGAAGGAATTTCCATTGGAAAGCCTTCACGTTTTAAACTTCAGATCCTATAATTCAGTTGAAGTCTCAGCAGACTGTTGGGTGACCAGGTTGGGCCTGGTGACCAGTGAGCCCTGGAGCAACCCTCCTCTGCTCAAGGGCCTGAACTGAAACGGCCTCTGGAAACTCCTTACCTCAGAATAGGAGCTGCTGCTGGTACTTTTGTGGAGGATTGGTTTTTAACCCCTGCTATAAAGATAACAGTGAGATAGCTGAGTAATATCGCAGCATGAGTAGCCAGTAAAGTTTTGGTTTAAATTTAGAGGTTGCTGTTTTTTTCACTTCAGCTGAGTGTAGAATTGAATCACGGTTATTTTGCTGCGGCCTCTGCTTTGCAACATTATCATAGCAAGGCGTTTCCCAGAAGCTTCTTTCTGACTTACAATAAAAAGTAAAAATATTCTGTGGCTTGCAGCAGAGACGTGGAGTCTTGCCAGCAGGGTCTGCAGCTAAGCTTCCCTTAGCTCAAGTCTGGCTTCCCAGCAGTTCTGCATTCAGGTCAAGCTGAGGGAGAGAATCATCAATAAGGGAGGCTGCAGAATTTATTTTCCTCGTTTTGTTTAATTAAACAACTGTTACCTTTCAGGTAATAGCTGTAATTTCCATTCCAGAAAGACTTGGTGTCAGTACTGAGGACCTTCTTCTGACTGAGGCAGCAAAACATGTAATTGCTGTTAGAACTTAGTGCAATGACCTGTCCTTCATAAAGCAGACCTGGCGTGGCAGATTTAAGCTTTACGCAGCAAATGAATTCCTTGATTTTGCTCAGAAAGTGCTTTAAGTTTGTCACGTGGAGATGGGAAAGTGACTACAGTCTTCTTCATTGGAAAATGGGGGTGTTTTTCCTGTTTTCTCTCTTGTTCTGCTTTATTTTTGCTTAAATGTTAAATGTGGTGTTTAGTAGCCATCGGTCTGTCTTATTGGAAACCCAAATAAAGAAAGCTGAAGAAAGCATTAATTCTTCATTAATTATTTACTTAAGCTGGTCTTGTAAGCAAGAATGGAAGCCTCAGCCCAGCTTGTCTCCCTCAAAATTATTAATTTATGTTCTTTTAAATTGGAAATAAATCCATTTTAGAGTAACCTAAGAGGGTCACACAGTGTAAAACAGATCGTGCAGGTTTGCTCCTAGCTGGCGTAAATAAAAAGAAAATACTAATTTTCTTTTAGATAAAACTTCTTTTCATCAGTTTATATGTAAGCATTCACTAAGGTACTTAAGACCTATGAACAGTAGAGTGTAACCTGGTCTGGGTCTGCCACTGTACTTCAGGCTGAAGAATTTCGAGCTGATCAGCACTTCTGACTTCTAGCTCAGGGGTTTTGGACCCAAAGCAGTTCACAATTTTAATACTCATTTTGGACTTCAGTGAGAAACAACTTAAATCAACTGCTTGTTAAAGGTATTAGCATTTCTTCAATTCTCTGTTCTGCCCACACTGATGCCTATAAAGGGTCAACTTTGCCTTGTGTGTATTGCATATTGCAGAGGAAGAAACTTGCAAGCAGTTCCTTGTAAGGGAACAAGTCAGTTACTCAAATCTTGACCTACAGTTCCAATTTGAGGCCAGTCTGACGAGCGACACAATTAGCTTCACTAAAGAGGTCAGTCTGGAATTAGCAACTAGCAGTATTTGTGTTCGTTTAAATGGCAGTAAATCAGAACGTGAAGTTGCATTATTTTACCAGTCTTAAGAATATTTTTTTTATAACCAATAAAAAAGCTTATCTTTCAAATTAATACCAGAAAATCTTCGTGCTGGCATGCAGAATGTTACATTGTCCTCTGCCTGAGTCTGTGAGGGTTCATATAATAAATAGATAATACAATAAATAGAGTTCACTCTGCACCATGCAGGTCCTAGGTGGCATTTGTCCAAATCCTCAATCCGGTTCCTCTTTTGAGCAACTTCAAAAATCTGCTTTCATACCTTTTCTTCAGTTGGCATCAGGCCCATCTCACGCTGTCTGGGTCAGAAGTGGAATTTTCCTCATCTTTTACTTTGCTAGCCTTTGCTTCTGATTACATCTCTCTTGGATTTTGGTATTTGGACTTTCTTTTCCTTATTGCATAAACTGTGCATTTCCATGGAAACAAACTAATTGTTCCTAGTCTGGTATGGAAGAACAATATCTTCTATTCCAGAAATGGAATTGTATTGCAGCCTTATTAGATGAGGTTCACTCAAGGCAAGGCGCTTAGTGAGGTCATATTTAGATGGACTGCTAATTAATATACTGGGTGGCATTGCCAACTGAATTCTGATTATTTCCCTGGGAAATAATTGAAGTAGGCTACCAGAGGAGGTATTCTAAACTTGGCATTTGAGTAAAGGAGTGCAGAGGAATTTTCTTTGAAGGTTTTTAGAGTGAAGAAAAAATAAATAAATAAAGGAAAATAGCAACTACTGTGTTAGTTTGGCTGAGCTTGCAGCAGAAATGATTGCTTATCTATTTATCTGTTCTTCATGTCTTCATGCTGTTACTCCTTTTGACACAAATTGGTTTTTATTATTAATGCAGAGTTAATAGCAGCATTTCTTCACCAAGGCATTTGTAAAGGACAGAGCTCAGAGCTAGGATAGCTGATAATTTACCAGTACCTGGAATTTTGTCTCCCTGACTGTGCTGCATGTGCCTTGGTCATTTCTGTCTACTCATAATATGTCTAATTTGTATGCAGAGAGTTGTTGCTTCCAGAATTGTTGGGAGCAGAAACAAAGTTGGTCTCTTTTATGTACTTTCCCATTGCTAGGTATGTGCTGTAGCGAAATTGTAGTATAGATGTTTGCATGCAGAGTCAGGCAACCGTGTTCATTTATTTTCACAAAACATGGCTTCAAGTTACTTTCCTTTCTTTCTCTTTGCCTGAAGTGTGAAGGGAAATTTTCCTTGTCTTCCCGTGTCCATGGCGGCCTCAGTGGAAAGAGGTAGTAGATGTGAATGGCTTAGGCTGCTGTTTAATGGAAAGGCTGTATTTTCAGAAGTGGTTGTATTTTTTTGGTGAGTGTGAAATGTGTTCAGATAAATATGCGTTTTGATGAAAAATGAATGAAATGTTTATGTATAGGAGAAAGGCTTTTTCTGTAGGTTTAAATTATGTTTTTTGTTTGACAGTGGCCCATCCTCAAGAGCCCCATCACCCAACTGAAAAGCCAGTCATCCACTGCCATAAGTGTGGAGAGCCATGTAAAGGTGAAGTACTCCGTGTTCAGTCCAGACACTTCCACATCAAATGCTTCACCTGCAAAGGTAAGACCTGGATGTTCATCAGTTAGAAATTAGTCAATTTCTGAATATGAAATTTAAACCAGTTTTGAGAGGTAAAGCTTCCTGCAGTCTCTAAAGTAGCAGATATTCCTCTTACTTAATATGAGAATACATTGTTTAGTGGGGAAGGTAAAGAATGAATGGTGGATGGGCTGAATCACGGATGTACCAGCAGCAAGATGGTCAACACCGCACGTAACAAAAATTCAGCGTGCAAACATTTACAGTTCAATTTAGAAGAAAAGTTATCTTGGACGTTTGATTCGTTGGAGGAGTAGGGATAAATTCATCGCTGCTAGAAGACTCAAAATAGCATGTCCTGCTTGGAACACTCATATATTTCTGTAATTACGTACTGTTCTTTTTCCAGCCTCCCACTTCCTCTCGCCATCTACTTTTTTCCATCCTGCCACTCCCTGTCAACCTCCACTTCTTTCCTTTCTTCACATACACTTTTGGCATCCAGCTACCTTTCAGCCTCCGACATGTCTGTCCCCTGCCTCTCATCCAGAGTCTCCAAAACCCAGTTCATCTTCACCTACGATTTTTCCCTGACCTCCAACTCCCTCTTAGCCTCCACTTTTCTTAGAATCTTACAGTAACCTTGATCCATGCCTGGAGTTGTTGGGGTTTTTTTTCCTGCTCTTCCAGTATCTGTTATTCTCTGCTTTCCCACTGTCTCCCAGTCACTTTTGGCCTCCACTAGTCTTCCTCTACCACTAGGCCTCCAATTCTTTTTACAGCCTCCACTTGTTTGGTCTCCAGTTACCACTAAGTCTCCCACCAACTTCTCATTCATTCCATTCCTTATTATTTGGGCTTGGCAGTAAGTAAGTGCTGTCTTTTTCAGTGTTCATGTGTCTTCCATTTAGAGTAAGAAAAGGATTGTGTCAAGGAGTTAGCTTCAAGTCCTGTTTTGAAGCTTTTACCTGAGTTTCACAGCTTGTTTTTTGTCATCCTTTCATATGTAAGTGGATGTACTTTTTGTTTAAACAGTGTAGTTATTTACTCATATTGCATATTGTCTGTCCATATGGTTCATACAAGTGGGACACGGCTGCTAAACTAAGCATTTTCTCCTTAGTTTAATGAGCTTTTAATTTGATGTGACTGCTTCTCTACAGGTGGTTAAGTTAGACCCCCTCAGTTTAAACATTATGTTGTTAGCTGAAGAAAATAATACCAGATACTGAGAGCAGTCTGCCTCTACAACTGGTTTATTTGTCCTTCTCCTTTCTGTATAGTTGTTTGTTCTTGAGATTTCAAGTCAGACATCTGCAGTGCAATAGCCTTGAATGAACTTGTATGTGTCTGACTGCTGTTACACCTGCTGAAAATGTTCAACCTCTTACCTCTAGGCTTAATCTGGTAGTATAGTGAAGATGAGGACTTTCTCATAAAGCTGTTGCACAGGTTGTAAAGTGGCATGGTTTCAGTGCTACCATTTATTTTCAGTCTGCTGTGTATGGGATTCCTTTTTTCTCGTTGCTGTCAATGCTCACAACTTCATTTACACGATGGTATTAAGCACCTTTGATGTGATCATAGTTGTACTTCCTAGGTTACCTGTCACAGGTTTGCTGTGACCGCTTGGCATGCATATGCCAGCAGTGGTTGCAGCACTGTAGGAATGGGGGCTTAAACCTCCATGCTGCCTCGGCCAGCTCAGGATGTGATCATGTGTCATGTAATGTCATCAAGCCCTGTAGTTTGGTGCTGTGTCCAGCTGTCTCAGAACAGAGTAAAACTGCTTCCTAATGAAGACAGCAAGGAAAACCTCTACCCATCAGTGTGTTTCCATACCCCCGAGATAAGATGCAGCTAGCTGTTATTCCATGCCACTGAAAACCAGATGCCTACTGCTGTTTTGTCCTATCTGCCCAGCTAGATTCTATTTGCGGGGCCAGATAAGAGCTGTTGAAAGAACAGAGCTGAAAGTGGTGTGACTTGTGCCCTAGAAAGCAAGCTCTCTGGGACCTCTGATAGGCAAGGAATCTCAAACAGCCAGCAGCTGACTTGGAGCTAGAGCAAGCAAGGGAATGATGGGCACGGGATGAGTGAGAGATGTTTAGGAGTGCCGTTCTAGGAGTGCCATGCAGAGCAGATTGTATTTTGCTGTTTTATAACAAAGTCGCTCATCTTGATAAAGAACTGCTGTTCTGTGTTAGAAATGCAAATTTAGTTGGATTCTGTTTTGTCTCATTATTCATTAATCTCCGGTAGTTTAAAAAAAAAAAAAGGTTTTATTATCTATTAATCAGGAGTACACTGCCCTTAAACCAAATTGTTAATGGTTACCTGGCAATGGAAGCAACAGGTGAAGAAGAAGGAGGCCTAGATGGAAAGGCTGGAGGGAGATGAGACTGAGCTGTTGACCTTCTTGATTTATTTTTTGTCTTCAACTGTTAACAGTAATAAGAATGAATTAGTGGCTTATAATGTAGTGGACTTTGAGGCACATGAATAACTTCTCTGGGAAATTTGGGACTATCTACTCCGCTGTCTTCCATAGGTAAATGTGCCTGGGATTGGGCTGTGAATTCTGATGTGCACTAGCAGAGATTATAATATCTCAGTTTAAAATGTGATGTGAATGATATTTTTTATCATTGTCAGTTAATTACAGTTCATTTTACCCTATTGCAAGTACTAGGAGTGGAAATTTTGAGGCTAGCAAAATTGGTATCCTAAGACTTAATAATAAACCTGTGATTCATCTTTTGGATTAGAGAGAAATTCTAGTTTCAATACAGCCAACTGCTTAGTAGAACAAGCTTTAAGCTTTGTTCATAACAAGGTAAACGTTTACAGTGCTTGATTTTGGTGCATGTAGAAATACATTGCATTATCTTGACAACAATATAATGTTAGGAACGTTTCAAATAGTGGGCAGTGTCCCTGTTCTTGATGTTGCATATAAATTGGAAAACACAGCAGCCGTGTAGTCGAATCCAAACAAATAAACCCAACCACCTTTGTAAATGAGCAGTCCTGACCTGGGAATATGGATGGTGTCCTAAAGTTTTCTGGACCCCACAAAGTGACATAAATGTCAATAATTTGATCATGCCAAGAAGAAATATTTTACTTTACATGGATATTTTACACGCAATAACAGTATCAGAGCAGTTACCAGCTAATTATGAGACAAAGCTGAGTTTTGGCATTCATGAAGCATTCCCCAAAGCCAGGTCTCTGATGCAAAGCAACTTGTAGCTTTTCTTAGAGCATTGTTATAAATTAGCATGAAGTAGTTTCTTAGTTACAGAACAAATGTGCCATCTGTCCTCATAGTTAGATGTCTTTCAAGATTATTTAGGAAAATCTACATCAGTGTGTACTTTCGGTGTCCTTTGAGATGTTTCAATTCTAGACACATCTGTTTTGTCTGTGTGATGATTTTGCAAGGCTACATTATTTGTAGTTGAAAGAAATTAATGGGAAAGGAGGAGGGTTTCTGAGTTTGCACGTAGGGATGCTCTGTAATCTTTGACTTTGAACTGGATGTTCCTCCCTTGAAGGATTGGGAAGAAGCTAGGGTCATGTAAGCAGACAGTATATCAACAAGTTGGAATGTGTTCTAAATCATTAGTTCTTTGACCTTTGATCTGTTGTCAGATTCCTTGTGTGGCAGCAGGATGAGGCTGCAGGCTGACTGCTGGGTTGTTAGTGCCATTAATAGGTCAGCATCAGTGCATGGCAAGTTTAAATACGAGGGTACTCTTGTAGTGGATCTCCAGTGCATTGTGCGAAAAACTATCTGCGTTTCCACAAGCACTTATCAATATGGTACTGATCTGTGGGCAGGCTAATGCAGCTGGTCGATAGGAAGCACTCCTTCCTGAATATCAGGAAATTGCACAAGGTGCCTTGAAGCTCCAAATCACTGAACCAAAAAGCTTTCTTTATATAAAACCTCCACTGGCTCAGAATTCTCTTGCAGTACATTACAGTTCTGCTTGCCCATTTGGGAACTCCATTCTTCAGCTTAGTTATTAAAGCAGCCTTTAATGTTATTAAGCCTTCTTGATTGTTTTGGGGTTTTTTTTTGTGTTTTTTTTTTTTTTTTCTAAAAACGGAGTGTCTACCTTTTAGACAAAGGGCATTTCTGAACATTAGAACAGAAAAGACAGGTAAATATGAGCTTGAAATGCTCCTGCAGCAAATACAGGTAGAACAGAAATATTACTATGTCTGATTTTGGATGGTCATATGTTTAGAAATCTGACCCATGATACTGAATTGCTATTCTGCATCCTTTTCGCAGTATAAAGTTCCACGTAAGAGAATGAGGAGCACAGATCTGAGTTTTCTTGGACCTGAGGTCCCTTTCAGTGACCAAACATGTGACTAGAAATGAAGTTAATTACGCAGCTTGGCTGATATTGATGAGTGCTGACAGATGCCATGTCAGATTTTAATAAGCAACCAGATCCCTTTGAAAATGGAAGGCTAGCAGGATGCTTTACAGGTGCTTGGTGAGTGGGGCAGAGCATCCTTCTGAGAATATGGAAAGCTACTTGGCTTTGTTGTCAGTGTATCTTTCATAGAATATTTCAAGTTGTAAGAGACCCACATGGATCATGCAATTTGTTTGCCTGGCTTGTTGTATAGTAGGTGGTTAGGTAGACTTCCTTTTGTATTTTTACATCTTTGTTTTGCTTATCTTTTGAGAAATCTCTCATCTAAGTAGGTAGAGCCAGGCAATCCAAGGCTAAACTTTGACATTTTCCCTCTGACTGCATTTTCTTCAAGGTTCATTTCCTGCAGACCCAGAAACGACTTTGATCTCCACCTTGTGCTTAGTTTAATCTGAAAGGTGTTTAAAATGGTTGAATGATTCTTGCCATTGTTTCCATCCTGGTGCACAAAATATTGATGCCTCAGTTGGGAAGCTGTTGCGCTGCTACATTATACATGGTGGCTGTTTACTTGCTGCTGAGGTTAGGTGCCTGTTATTGCCTGTTAGATTGCCAGAAAGA